ACCTCACGAAATCCATTTTACACATGTTCCATTTGGTGAATTTTTGCTATTCTTCTTTGTCTTTTTTTAAAAATGGAAACCGTCATTTTAGGAGGTAATATAGTAACCTCAGTTAATTCGTATGCTGCTGTGCTATCGGAGTCTGAAAGCTGAAGGCCATGGGGTTGTGCTGTAATGGGGAAAAGCTTTTTAAATAAAAGCCAGGAGACCTGGGTTCCAGTGTGAGCCATGCCACTGTTTTGCTGTGAGACAGTGGGCAAGTTGCTTAACCTGCCCGTGTCTCAGTCCCTTCATCTCTATAATGGGGATGGTGGCTCTGTCCTCATATTGGGGTTCATACAAAGATAAAAACCAGGGATAGAGGAGAAGCGCATTGTGAATTAGGACCATGGTATATTTGCCATGTTTTTGACACTGTAGGCTTTTTATCCATCCTTCTTCAGACATCAGGCAGCCAGACTTGGCTTCCAGCCACCACTTCAGAGTGGCCAGTGCAGGGCCTGTGAGCCTAGCACTGAGTCTGACCAGTCTGATTAAATCCTGACTCTGCTATATACAAGCTGAGTGACTTCAGAAAAAATAGCATAATTTCTCTATTCTTAGGAACCACATCCATGACGTGGACATAATGATATCTGTGTCTTGGGTTCTTATGTAGTCTAAATGAGTCAGAGATTATAAAATACACTTGTGAGTGCTTAATAATGCCATCATTATATTTCTTGGAGCTAGGCATGTAAGGAGGTTTTCTTTTATGGAAATTATACTTAGTCACTCTCATTGTATTTTGTGCTGCTATAACAGAATACTACACTATAATGAACAGAAGCTTATTGGCTCATGGTTCTGGAGGCTGGGAAGTCTAGGATTTAGGCATCAGCATCCAGTGAGGGTCTTCTTAAGAAGCTGCCTCATTCCATGGCAGAAGGCAGAAGGGCAAGAGAGAGCATTACCAAGAGGGATCAACAGTTCAAACTCATAGTCCAAGCCCTTTTGTAATCAGTGTTAATCCATTCATGAGACCAGATCCCTCACAACCTGAGCACCTCCCTTTAGGCCCCACCTCCCACCACTATTATATTTGGGATTAAATTTCTAACACACGTTTTCTGGGAGACACAATCAAACCATAGCAGTCACTATTGTGTTCCAAGTGTATTCTTCTGGTCCTTGGCTGTGTTCAAGTAGCTCTCCCATGAGTAAGTTGAAATAATCAAAAACCAAGGCTTCAACTATTTCCTGATCATGTGATCCAAAGAATTCAGAGAGCATTCAGCTTGGGAGTTAGCATCTCTCCAAAAGCCAGAGACTCCTAGTGACAGACAGACAGAACAAAAAACAGAGGAGACTTTGCAGAGCATGAAGCACTGGAATGGAACGCCTTAAAAGTTCCAGCCGTGAACCAGTTTGTGCAGTTCAAGTCAGAAATGGAATCATCTGGATGCAGGTGCCCAACTAGTTATTAAGGATTCTGGACTTAAAACTCAAGTGAAAATTTTGAAGAGAGACATGAAAATTCTTTGTAATTGGCTTAAAATTCTAAATATAAGTAAAGGTGACCATGCAAGGCTTCACAGGTATTTCCATTTAAGAACTTCAGCCTAGTTTTCTATACCAAATTGCAGAACAATAGTCCTGACCCATGTGAGAACATAGATATCACAAATTCATGAAGCCAATATATACGAGGACCAGGTAAGCACACAGAGATTTTGCATCCAGCAGGAGATTCAGAAGAATTAATGGGTAATTAAGAGTTGAACAGAGCTACAGGGTACTTGGGAACCACTACACAGGCTTGGGAAGCTTCTGGACCTTCTGGAGGAAGTGAAGCCTAAGCTGACATTGAAGGGAAAAGTCAAACAGGTGCATGGAGCAGGTTTAGAGGAACATTCAAACAGAAGGAACTGCCAGCATAATGACCCTGCAGCATCAAAGGGACTGGGAGCCTGTGGTTTAGACTTGGACACCATGATATGATTCACACCATAGAAAATCTCTCTAGAAACTAGGCATATTGGAAGGAGGCAAGACTGGAGGCAGGGAGACAAGTTGGAGGTCTGTGGTGTAATAGGGGCAAGAGACTAAGGAGCATGGAGGTTGAGAGTGGCAGGGGCAATGGAGAGAAGCTGAGTGGTTTGGGGCTATGAGAGAGAGCTGGTGGGAAGTGGAGATGGGTTGGATGTGGTCTGCCATCCTAAGGACTGGAAATAGAGATGTAAGAAAGAGAAGTCAAGTGAGACTGGAACTGATCCATGTTCACCATGACAGCTACAGGGAAGTTGTTAGTGATGCTAGTAGTTTCAGGGGAGTGACAGAAAGAGGAAGCCAGATGACAGAATGAGAGTGAGTGGAAAGCAAAGCAGGGTGAGAGCACATAGCCTGTGTGAACCATTCTTCTAACCAGAATGGCTGGGCCAGGGGGCCAAAAGAGAGCAGTATCTAGAAAGGACATGCAGCTAATGGAGAGTTGTTTCTAAGAGAGAGATTTGAGCATTTAGAGTATCCAAAGAAAGGATCCAATCAGAGGCAAAGGCTGGAGTTATAGGAGAGGGGAGGATTGTTGATCATCCCAGGTTCCAGAGGAGGTGGGTAGAGTTCAAGTCTGTTTGGGATGCTATAATAAAATACCAGAAAACAGGTAGTTTATAAACAACAGAGATTTGTTTCTCACAATTCTGGAATCTGGGAAGTCCAAGATCAAGGCACAGCTTTCTAGGGCCTTTTTTATTTTATTTTATTCATGAGGGCTCCACCCTCCAACATAATCACTTACCTCTTAATAACATTATCTTGTGATTATGTTTCAACATATGAATTTGGATGGACACAAACTTCAGATTATTGCAAGGTGCTTGGAGCAGAGGGGGGAGGGGAAGAATAGTTTAGAGCTAGTTTGGAGCCAGGAGGCAGAAAGCTGAAGGAATTCTGCTTTGATGATTTCAATGATTTTTTTTTTTTTTTTGGAAGCTGAGGGTGAGGAGAGAGGGGACAGGAGAAAATCTGAGGGAAACAGAGGACTTGAAATATCTCCTGTGGTGAATGAGAAAGAAAATCAAATAGAGAAACTAAATATGGTTTCCAGGTAACATCGAAGGCCTGGGTGGAAGTCAGAGGAATGAATTTGCAGTGTCTCTAATATGTGATGATCCCCGGGACTAATCTGTGGAGAAAACTCTGCAACTTCTCAAATGGCTCCTTCCCCAAACTTTCCTATTTACTTAACTCAATCTGCCCAAAGAGGTTGTTCTCTGAAGAACGTCCCTCAGCTGGCTCTGGGCTGTTCTTATCTGCTGCCATCACCCGATTGGAGTCCTTTTCTGAGTTACCACCGTGATCTCTCTCTTTACTCCCCTATCCATTCCCTAGTGAACCCCAGGCTGATTTTGAGGGCATGCAGTTCCAGGCATACCATCTCTTTGCATTTGGCTCCCAGCTTGTAATTTTAAGCTTTCTACAAGAGGCCTTCAACCATTCTGCACAGTCTCGTCTCCTCATGTTCCCTCTGTATAACCTCCTTGATAATCACATGAGCTATCTGCTGTTTCTCAGATTTTCTTTGCATTTTCTTGCCTTGGTATCTCTGCTCACATTGCTCGGTCTCTAGACTAGAAGGAATGTTCTCCCTGCCCATCTTTGCCGAGTGAAGTCTTATCCATGATTCAAGACCAGTGTCTTCTCAAAACTTATGATTTCCTGAATAGAATATGACTTCTCCTGTCTGTCATTCCCTGCAAATACTTTGTTTATTTCTCTGTCCATTCAGTCCTTAGTGAACTAATTAAAGCAGACATGGTGCCCTTTATAAAGTAGATACTCAATGCTGAGATACAGTAAGTTAATGATGTAGAATTTAGGAAAAGAAGCCCTGTCTAAATAGGACTTCAAGGAGACTGCTACCAATGTGGCAGTAACCAATAAGCTTTTGAATCTATTTTCCCCCCAAAGAGAGAGTACCTTGCTTTTTAAGTGAATATTCTTCACTTTTTATTTTATGATAAAATATACATAATAATATTCATTATTTTAATCATTTGTAAGTGCACAATTTAATGTCATTAACTACATTCACAAAGCTGTGTAGACATCACCACCACTTGTACCCAGAATGTTTTCATTATCCCCAACATAAACTCTATAAACTAAGCCATACTTCCTGTTTCAGTCAGTTTTTTCATTGCTGCAATCAAATGACCCAGCAAGAACAATTTTAGAGAAGGGTAAGTTTATTTGGCTCATGGTTTCAGAGGTCTCAGTCCACTGATGGCTGACTCCATTGCTCTGGGCCCAAGATGAGGCAGAACATCATGGCTGATGGGTATAAAGGGAGAAAATAGCTCAGGACTTTACAATCAGGATGGGGGTGGGGAAGTGGGAAGAGAGAGAGAGAGAGAGGGATTGCTCCACTTAGCAGGGACAAAATACATACCCCAAAGATACACCCCCAGTGACCCACTTCCTCCAGCCATATCCTACATGCCTATAGTTACTACCCATCCAATCCATTCAACTGGACTAATCCACCAATCAGGTTAAGGCTCTCATAATCCAATCAGTTCGCCTCTGAAATTTCTTGCATTGTCTGACATGATCTTTGGGGAGACAGCCTATATCTAAACCATAATACTTCCCTTCTTCCTCCTCCCCCAGCCCCTGCTAACCTTATTCTATTCTATTTTCTGTGTCTACAAACTTGCCCATTCTAGGTATTTCCTATAAGTGAATCATACAACATTTGGCCTTCTGTATGCCCTATTTTACTAAACATAAAAATTTCAAGGTCCATCTATGTTGTAGCATATATCAAAATTTGATTCCTTTCTACAGATGAACAGTATGCTATCGTGTGTGTATATGCCATATTTTGTTTATTCATCTGTTGATGAACACTGGGGACACTTTGGACACCTTTTAACTACTGTGAATAACACTGCTATGAGCATTTATGTACAAATATCTGTTTGAGAACCTACTTGCAATTCTTTTGGCAATGTACCTACCTGGCTGTAGACTTGTATCTTATAGCAGTACTGTTTAACTTTTTGATGAACTGCCAGACTGTTTTCATCAGTGGTTAAACCATTTTACATTTCTACCAGCAAGGAACAAGGGTCCTGGTTTCTCTATATCCTCACCAAACTTGTTGTTTTCCTATTTAAAAAAATAATATCATTAGAGTCATTCTATAAGATCAAAATAGTAAGTAACTCACTGTGGTTTTGATTTGCATTTTCCTAGTGACTAATGATGCTAAAGATCTTTTCATGTGCTCATTGATCATTTGTATACCTTCTTTGAAAAATTGCCTATTCAAGTCTTTTGCCCATTTTTAAGTTGGGTTGTTTGTCTTCTTGTTGTTAAGAGTGTTTTCTTCTTTTAAAAAATGTCCAGGAAACACAAATACAGTTTAGAAATGACGTCTGGTTATCTCATGCTTGCTAAGAACCTGTGACCTAGTAAGGAAAGTTTCTATACTACTAAGCTCTCCAATACACACATCATTTTCTCTATTTTCTTTCCACTTATGCAGATGTGGGCATTTTCTAAGATCACAGGGGATTCCCACACTGAGACAGCTGGACCAGACCTTCTAGACAGTGGCCTATGGTACCAATCCATGTAGGGCATCATAACCTCACAGAATAATCTGAAAATATGTCAGTTAACTCAATGTGCATCAGGGATTGAACATAAATTGAAACAATATAAATTAGTCCTGCCTATGGGCTGGATTTTGTCCCCTCAAATTTAATAATTTAACTCCCAGCACCTCACAATGTGAACTTATTTGGATATAGGTTCTTCTGTTTTGAGGTAATCAAGTTACAGTGAGATCATTAGTGTGGGCCTTTATACAATGTACTAGTGTCCTTATCAAAAAGGGGAAATTGGGGCACAGACATGCACATAGAGAGGCGGCCTTGTGAAGAGGGAGGCGGAGATTGGGGTGATGCATTTGCAATAAATGAATGCCAGCGATCACCAAGCCAGGAGAGAGGTTGGAGCAGATGCACCCTGGCAGCCCTAAGAAAAAAACCAACCCTGCCACTCCCATGATGAGGACCTCTAGCCTCCTCTTGGAGACAGTAAATTTCTGTTGTTTCAGCCATCATTTTTTGGCACTCTGTTATGGCAGCCCTCACGGACTAACACATCCCTGTTCCTCCAGAAACACACAGGAGCCTGAGATGGAGATTTTAAGACAGCCTGGTAGGAAGCAGGAGTTATTCTGTGGCAAGGGGACATTGCAGCAATGATTACATAAACCCATACATGGAGTAAAGTCACATAGGACTGACACACATTCAGAAGAAGGCAGGCTTAAAAAACGATAAGAACTGATCCTAATAGATAAGTTACACTCATGTATGTCTAATATGTCACAATACACGCTACTGGCATGTATATCCAAAAAGAACAAATTTTAAAAATAATGCTATTACTAAATGCTATTAGAGAAAATGCATTGGAAATTTTTTTGTGTGTGGAATAATATAAATAACAAAGGACTTCTTTTCAGTTTTGACAAACCAATACATTTATGGAAATAAATTGCTAAAAAAATTTTTAATTTCTTGAACTTTGTTGAGCTAGTAAAATTTACAAATGTCTCTTGAAAAAAAATGATGAAAACTGAATAAGGTCAACTTCCAGTTTTGACACTGGGTACAATGTCAAATAGCTATAGAAGATGGTACCTCTGGGAGAAGGTGAATGAAAAGCATTCAGAACTCTTTTTCAAATTTTTTTTTTCTTTTCTTTTCTTTTTTGACTCTTTTTTTTTTTGTAAGTTCTCATGAGTTTATAATTATATAAAAATAAAAGTATAAAAGTTTCCAAAAACTTAATAAACAGAGACTCTTCTCACCATAGCTGCCTTTTCTTTTTTTCTTATTATTTATTTATTTGTTTGTTTGTTTATTTATTTTGGTACTGAGGATTGAACCCATGGGGACTGATCCACATCCCCAGGCCGTTTTTGTATTTTATTTGGAGACAGGGTCTTGCTGAGTTGCTTAGGTCCTTGCTAAATTGCTGAGGCTGGCTTTGAACTCAGGATCCTCCTGCCTCAACCTCCCAAATTGCTGGGATTCTAGGCCTGAGCCACCCGCCCAGCTCACAGCTGCCCTCTTAATAGAGTATTTCCTCAATGCTCACGCCCAAGTTGTACACCAACAGACAGACACTCTGAGAGATCAGCCAGCTATGATGACAGTCGGTGAAATTCTGAAACTGCATGAGGCAAGGCACAGGGCTACTGTCAGAAGCAAGTGGTGCATTTTACCTAAATTTTAATCACTCTAATATTACTCCTCTAGGCGGTGGCCAAGTTCACAAAATCACTACAAAAGAAAACTTAGGGGGAAAAAAAAGAACAGAAAGGTAGAGAACATTCTGCTGGATCTCTACTCTAACATGATGCTGTTTCTGCCAGGGAAAGTGAATTAATAAGAAGATGAGCTCATGACTACAATTTTTATTTCTAGAAAATCAGCATTTTCCATAGCCTATTAAACACAAGGTGAACATTTTTTTAAATATTAGTTTCAAAGGAAGTCAAATGATTGGAATGACTGGAAGGATTTCCTGACTCAAAACCCAGCTCTCTAGGTACTTAGAGACTTTCAAGGCAACACGTCTTAAATAAAACAGATTGGATGTGAGTGCAAAGGTACGTGAGGGTCAAATTGTAGAGACAACTCAATTCCTCTTGGTTCCGTCTTCCCACGGCTGCCTTGTTTTCTCCTTTTCCACCCCTCTATTTTCCTATTCAATGTGCCATGGAGGAAAACTTGCAAAGGGTCAATTCCACACAGCATGGTGCTGGTGGGGCTAAGAATCACCATCCACAGCAACTACAAGAAGTGGATACAAATTATAGGATGCTTTTCTTAAAGGGAGATACAGAAATAGAATATGTCACAACCATCCCAAGCACGCAGAGACTTGATCAGCATTTGAAGAGAGAGAAGCCACAACTCCTGAGGCTGTGACTTTGGCCAAAGGTAACCATTACCCTGGGACGATTAACTCCAGTGTCTTCCCTGAAAGCAAGCAGTTCCCTCTCTGCTTGTCAGGTGGAAAAACGAAATTCTTCCATTTCCAAAGAAGGCGATTGCTCAGAGTCCTTTTACCCAACAAGATGATTTTCCCTCTTACCTCCTGGGTCTGGAGATTGCACAGTCTGCCTCACGGGGTGGATGTTTCAGCGGGGAGAAATCTCTCACTTGCATGCTGGTTGCTTTCAGACGTGGTGCATTGTTTCCTAGGAGCCTTTAATAAAAACAGGTTCTCTGTGATTTCAGTGTAGATGGATCTATTTTTTTCCCTCTCCTGAATAAATGTATCATGAGTGGACTGCCCAAGAGCATAATGCTGTTTGGCTGCACTTTTTAACAAAGCTATACACTTTCTAACTTGTGGAGGAGTTGAAAACAGTGGTTAAAAGTAGTCATGCCATAAAGCAACAGTGGTAATATTTCAAAGGGCTTCATCAAACATGAGGGAGAGCCTATAAATTTGATTCCAGTCTTCATCCTTTTTATCTTTATCCCTATTCAGATGACCTATGCTACATGTTCTTACCAATTTACTAACAGAGCTCTCCTAGCTGAGACAGCAATCTTCCTTTTGGTTTGGCCCAGTATGCTTCCCATTGTGAGAGGGCGTCCTGATTTAGCCTGAATTCTAGCCCTTTCCTTGCTATAAATCAGCTGTGTGACCTTAGGTACATCACTTAACATCCCTGGGCTTTAATTCAACAAAGTTTCTTTTATTTTTTTAAATATTATTTTTAGTTGTAGATGGACACAATATCTTTGTTCTTTTATTTATTTTTATGTGGTGCTGAGGATCAAACCCAGTGCCTCACACGTGCGAGGCAAGCACTCTACCTCTGAGCCACAACCCCAGCCCTCAACAAAGGTTTATTATGCATCTATGTTGTGCTAAGCACCACTATAGCAAGCTAAAAGAAGATATCCATCTTAAAGAAGATTCAAATATAGTAGGAGAAAAATAAAAAAGAGAAAGGAAAACATCAAAAGGAAAGAAAAGGATACAGGGGTAAATTAAACTATAAAAGGGAGGCAGGATTGAGTTTCTTCCTGTTTTCATGTTAATACCATCAAAAGGAGGGCCCAAAGTAAACTCTGCTATCCCACATCCCAGGCCAGCCTCTCCCTCACGTTTCTAGAGACCTTTCTCTTTCTTTTCCCAAGAAGCAGTGAAGGCAGTTATAACTGGAAAATGAGGCAGAGGGAAAAGTGAGTGATATCAAGGAACTCCAGGGCTGTGCTAAGAAAACACATGCTTACCAAATTCTGGAAGACTTAGTATTATTATTTTTTGATTTTTAAAAGTCTTTATATCTTCTGATCACAAGAGCAACTTGTATTCATTTGAGGAGGAGAAGACAAGCAGTCAGAAAACATTCACGATCCCATGCATCTAAGCACCCACTCACTAACAACACCTGCATCCATCTACATTATTGTATTGCACGTAATTGTTCCAATTTACAAAAGTGGGATTGCACTATTTTTATTGTTCTGATACCTGTTTCCCTTCCTCTGTTTTTTCTTCTCATGTGTGGACTTTCCTAATTTAGTGTATTTTAATTACTCTCAATGACCAATCTTGTAGAGCAAACAAGAGTCTATTTCAAAGGATGACACGTACTGCTCTCACCCTCAGAGAAATGTATTCACAAAAGGAGAAAGGAAATTTAAAATGGAAGGCCTAGAGTGTATGTATTTGTTTTTAGTGTCAAAGATCCAAGAGTCCTGGGCCTTATTGCACATATTCTTATTCAACTTTAAGGGGCAGGAGGAAAAAAAAAGATTTATGAACTAAGGAGATGTTTAATGATTACCAAAAATGTATCTGTTTGCTTCTTAAGACTGATCTCTTCCACATTCTACAGAAAATCCCATCACACTGATAAATTGTATCCAACCTTTTGAATTAAGGTTATAAGGAAATTCATTCTCAACAGGCTCTGCGCTTTTACTGAATAAAAAAATACATAGTTCAGGTTTTTGGGTGGTAAAAATTCTATGAACGGCAAGAAACACTTCTAGTATAAAATTGTTTTCCAACTGACATGAAAATTCATCAGCTTACCTGCTTATCATGGGTGGCCATCAAGAAACACGGTCCATCCTTTAGAGAGAACTGACCATGGAGCATGTCGGCCATGGAAACATAAAGCGACCACATCGGATGCTCTCTTAAGGACACCATGATTCTTTTGGCTGGTGTGCCTTTAGGCACTGCCATTCATCTTCATGTCCCCTGACATTGCTGTCTCATTAGTTGGAAAGGCACGAGCACACTTTCTTTGTAGGCGGATCTTGGCCGGTGTCAAGACTGGTGGCAGCCTTTGTCACCAGTGTGGGGATGTTGGTGATACAAAAGGATGCAATTCAGAATGTCATCACACACACTGTAGTGAAGACAGCTCCAAGTTGGCCTGGTCTGTCTTGGGTCAACTGTATTCTCTGGGCTTCTCTAGTTTTACAGAAATGGAACCCTGTAGATTGGGCTCTCCTTCCTTCTGCTCTTTAGGGCTCCATTTAATCTTTCCTTCCATTTTCATTTTACAAGTATTCCTTCCCTGGAGTATTCAGCTTCACACCTGCTCTTCATGGCATCTTATGCCTCCATCTAAGGAAAACAGAACCATGAGCCACAGTGCTGTGGGCTGTGTTCTGAATGGACTCAGGCCTGGAACAGAAATGAGATAATCCTCAAGTCTCTGGGGACTCTGCCACTCCTTCCCAGTGGAACAAGTGCAAATGCCTCTGGCCAGGGCACCATCTGAGATGCATCAGCGCTGGTCTGGAAGTCAAAACGACTCAGGAGGTCATAACAACTTAAGCACAACAGTCCTTGCTTTTAATAGACATAAACAGAAAGCTTGGATTTGTGTCTCATTCCAGGCAACCAGCGCTGACTTGGCTGAGAATTGATTGCTGCCTTATGAAGTGTGATGCTAGGGGGAAGCACCATCTTGTCTCCCTTTATTCCACAACATTTTCTTGAGACATTTAGCAGGCAGCTCCATCTTTAACTAGTTATATCCTTGCCTTATAAGTGAACTGCTAAACATGATCCATTTTCCCATTTCCCAGATTCTCAGTACTTGTTCAGTAGAAGAAGGAAATGCAAGGTTTAATTACAGCAGAGGTAAGATGGGAACAGTGGTCAGTATGCCCATCTAATAGTCAAGATTTCATTAAACATGCTTGGCAGGCAGCTACTAGCAGGTCTCAAGCCTCGTGATAGCCTTCATGATTTACATAGAGATGTGAGTGATAGGAAGGATACAATTGGGAATGTCATTCACACACCCTGTGTTTGTGCAATGCCGTTTCTATTGCTTACCGTGATTGAAACTGCTGCCTTGTGTCATTAAGTGTGGATTTCAGAGGTGCTCAACAATAGACACGACCTTTACTCCATTCCCCTTTTGCCCTTTGTTCAACAAACATATCCTGAGCACCTACCATGTGCTAGGCACTGTTACACTTGGAAAAAGCACTGAAAGGGCAGATCCTTGTGCTCTGGAAAGGAGACATGCTATTGACCTCGAAAGCTGGGAATCCCAAGAAAGGAAAAAGAGGGAAAGAGAAGTTTTGGAAAGGAAACCCCTCTCTGCCTTTCACTTTTGAAACGAGCTGTCTAGCACCATGCCCGGTGTTGTGGGGTCCAGAGGTCATCCATTCCATCTGAATGACTAATCTCACTCACCTTTTTGAAACACCCTTTTCCATTGGTCAATTGAAGGACAGGCTTGAAGCTCTTTTTGTTTTTATTTTTCTGGTTATCTCGTTCTGTCTTTTATGCCATGACAGAAAAAGGATTAATAGCTAGGAAAACAGAGGACCTGACAACTCAATTCTGTCACCCAAGAGTACTTATTAAGCTGCCACCTGTACATAGCCCAGTGCTAGATGCTCTTGCTAATAACACGTGTGCGTCTCTTCTCCCTGCAGGACTTTGGCACACACCGAACTTAACAGAAAACTGCAACTCAAAAGCCCATGCTGAGGGTGGGATTAGGGTTTTGGATGAGACTTTTGAGTGTGATTCTTTGGGGGAAGCAGTGGGAAAAAGAGGCAGAGATGGGTCTAAGGTTAATTACATCCTGGGGAGCTTGCACTCTGAGAGACTTTGCAGGAAGGGGCTGGCTGGTGACCACATGAAGGTTAATGGCACTATTATATATTGGAAGAGTCTGTATTGTGTCAATAAAGAGATGGACTTCTTTTTAACAATGACATAATTGACCATAACCACTCCTCTGGTGTACTGAGACGAGGCAGTAAAAATGTGGGTCATTATTACAAGACACGTACACTCACGTACACTCACACAAACACGCAGACAAACCCTGAGACTCACTCCACTGTCTTTGGCCCCTCCAATGACCATGACAACAGTTAAAATTTGGAGAACTTTATTGTTTTTGGTTATTGGGTGAAAACCCCATTTGAAGTTTCTAAAATGCTAAAGCTTAGCATGAAGAAGTCAATGTAATAGTTTCTGAACTGGACCCTTTGGGATGGGCCCATAGGCCATACATGAAAAATCACACTGTCCGGCATATGAAGCACATGCTTTATGAAGATCTGCTAAATGGACTCAATTCAAATCTAAACAGTGAGCAAGTTGACTTCCCATCACCCCCTGGGCAGGATGAGAGCAGAAACAGGAAACTGACTATAATTTGGAAGCTTAGTTTTCTTTCCTTTAAAATGGGGCTATTGCCTCCATTTTCAGAATCATGTGGGACAACAACTGAAAATATGTTTCAATTGTTAAAAGGATCATAGAAGGCTGGGGAATGTAGCTCAGTAGTAGAGTACTCGCCTAACATGCATAAGGTCCTGGGTTCAAGTCCTCATTATTAAAAAAAAAAAAAAGAAAAAAGAGGATTATAGATGTAAAAAATCATTTTTATTGACAGAGTAGAAATCTTTTTAAATGTTTCAACTTAGTAAAGGTAAGAGTGGAATGTTTTTAAAAGATATGTCCTTAATATGAAGATAAACATATATATCTTAATTATATATATATATATTTGAGAGGCAAGTGGCATCTCTCCCAATAATTTAAATGAGGTTTAAGGAAAACAGGAGCAGGAAAATTCTTGGGGTCACCAGGACCAGGAGGTCTCCCCAAGCACCCTCTTGATTCTATGACCTCTAATTTTAGTCCTTTTATTTCTAATGCATCTTTAAAATAACCCAATGAAAACAAGAGTCACT